CTATCATTCAAATATTCCTAAAGGACCATGTTATTTTAATACACAGGTCTGCAAAAGGATTTGGTACCCCATATATATCCCAGTGAAATCCTGATAATAGAAATATCAACAGGATTGGATTATAATCATCTTCTGTCTGTAGGCACCTTCAGTCTAATGCTGAGTGGTTGCCTGACCTGTGAGTTATGTAATATCTATATGCCATAGGCTCTTGTGCAGGGGTGTCAAACTGGTGGCCCTCCAGTGGTATCACCCTTACAACATAATGATTAAACTTATGCTGAAGCAGCTAGACTGTTAACAGATTCTAAAGCTAACCAGATGGGGGCCCAGATGGGCTGGCCAGTGTCAATGGGTGGTGGGAAATCTGGAAGTATGGTTACTGCTAGAACCTCCTGTGATCTTTCCTTCAAACTAGTTTTTTATAGTCTACATGGCCAAAAGATTACTAAAAAAATAGTTGTGGTACCACATGCGACCATGTGCTTTACAGCAATGCATGATATGTGTTTTGGTGCCATGCCATGCCATTTATTTGAATGGTACTCCAACACACCTTGCAAATTAGAATGCGTTGTAACAGTGCCCTGCCCAAAAATATTGCCTACAGCATTTTCTGGTAATGCACCACAAAGCATGTCAGCACAAATCCATGCATGTCCATCATAAGCTGTGTTGTGATGAAAAACTGAATTTTGGGTTTTCACTAGCTGTAAGCTACAATCAACAACATTAAAAGAAAGAAATGCTTGAAATATATCAATCTGTGTGTAATGAATCTATATAATATATGAGTTTCATTTTTTTAATTGAATTACTAAAATAAATACACTTTGTGATGATATTCTAATTTATTGAGGTGCACTTGTACATCTTAGTATAATTTTTTCATTATTTGACCTTCTGCATTTCCTACTTAGTCCTTGACGTGGCCTTTCTCTTACCTTAAAAATGAATCAGGCAGAAAAAATACACGGCTCCCATGATTCAATGCACACATCAAATGAATTGTGCTTCCATTCACATAGGAAGCATAGCTACTCTCTCATTGTAAATGACAATGAATAAAAATGTTGTTTGGCTGGATTTAGTGATATCAATGGTTCTATGATAAACAATGCTCTTATTTTTAATGAGGTTGATCCAAGAATAAAAATGTGTTAAAATATGCCAGTGAGTTGGAATACCATTACTCTCACTGCCCTCAAACATCCACCAGAGGGCAGAGCAGATTGCTTCTATAGATATCAGTGGAGTAAATGTATTCTCTGGTTTGCATACTGTAATGTGTCAACTGAAAGACCAAAACAATTTGTACAGCTGTACAATGTTCTGCACGTAATGGATAATGATGCCTTCCTGGGACAAGCTGATCTTTCATTTTTACACCTTATTACTTTGTACTTTATATTTTTCAAGGAACATCACAAAAAACAGCTTTGGGATTGCAAGGAGGCAGAGTCTGCCTGTGACTGTGTAAATCAGTGCAGATCTGTCTCTTCCTAAATTTTGTATACAGGTGATGGCCCAGTTTTAAATTTGCAGGACTATTTGTATAGGATAATTGTCACTGTACAGTGTTCATTTATAAGGAAGAGGATAATTACATACTTCCCAAATTTATGAAATGATAAAGAAAGATACCTTTTAGTAAACAGGATGTTGGCAAAAGACAAGTCCCGGTCATGGCCCAGATTACATGGAAAATGATCGACTAAACCACAAAAGTGATTTTTTTTGTCTTCTATTTTTCCTTTTATTTGCTTTTTAACATAACAAATGTGGTAATATAGAGGTTGGATAAAAAGGTTAGTGTAGCATAGTAAAAATATTAAAATAGTACATTTTGTATAGAGATGTACAGATCAGACCAAAAAGATGGACAACTGAGGCAGCACAATGACAGCCCCTCCAAATGAGGTACAACTGGGAGCTGCAGTATGTAATTAGGACTGTCCACTAACACTCCATATGCTGCACTGTATATTACATACTATGGATTGCAGCCACTAGTCTGTGTGTTCCATTCTCTAGACCAAGGGTCTCCAAACTTTCTAAGCAAAGGGCCAGTTTCCTGTCCTTCAGGCTTTGAGGGGCCGGACTGTGGCCAGTGGGAGTAGAAAATACCCCGACATCAGAGCTCCATCATTGGTTTTAATAGAACTAGTGCCACATTGTTGATATCAATGAGAAGAATAATGCCCTATTGATGGTGTCAGTAGGGGGAATGGTGCCCCATCATTGGTGTCAGTTGGTGGAATAGTGCCTCAAGGGCCAGATAAGGCAAGCAAAGGGCCATATGTGGCCCCAGGGCCACAGTTTGGAGACTAATGCTCTAGACCATTACAATTAATCTGTGGCACTCTACAATGTATGCTCGACACTGTTCCACTCTATATAGCATATAATATACTACGGCACTCTATATGTTGTGCTAAATGTAATATACTCTGTAGCACTAGTTATATAACTGCTGTAAATCTATTAGGACTTGAATTCTACCCCATGCAAGGAATGGCCACAGCTATGCTGAGCTAGTCATAAATGGATCTTTATGAATGAATGAAATTTCCTTCCTAGTAAATCTACCACAGTCCACTGTTAGTTGTGTTATAACAAAGTGGAAGCAACTGGGAACAACAGCAACTCAGCCACGAAGTGGTAGGCCATGTAAAATCACAGAGTGGGGTCAGCGCGTGCTGAAGCGCACAGTTCACAGAAGTCACCAACTTTCTGCAGAGTCAATAGCTAAAGACCTCCAAACTTCATGTGGTCTTCAGATTAACACAACAGTGTCTAGAGAGCTTCATGGAATGGGTTTCTATGGCTGAGCAGCTGCATCCAAGCCTTACATCACCAAGTGCAATGCAAAGCGTCGGATTCAGTGGTGTAGAAACATGCCACCACTGGACTCTACAGCAATGGAGATGTGTTCTTTGGAGTGATGAATCACGCTTCTCTGTCTGAAAATCCAATGGACGTGTCTGGGTTTGGCGGTTGCCAGGAGACTGGTACTTGCCTGATTGCATTTTGCTAAGTGTAAAGTTTGGTTGAGTGGGATTATGGTGTGTGGTTGTTTTTCAGGGGTTGGCCTTGGCCCATTAGTTTCAATGAAGGGAACTCTTTAGGTGTCAGCATACCAAGACATTTTGGACAGTTTCTTGCTCATGCTTGACTGGCCTTCACAGAGTCCTGACCTCAACCTCATAGAACACCTTTGGGATGAATGAGAGTGGAGACTGCTAGCTAGGCCTTCTCGTGTGATATCAGTGTCTGACCTCACAAATGCGCTTCTGGAAGAATGGTCAAACATTCCCATAGACACACTCCTAAACCTTGTGGATAACCTTTCTATACGAGTTGAAACTGTTATAGCTGCAAAGGGTGGGCCAACTCAATATTGAACCCTGCGGACTAAGACTGGGATGCCAATAAAGTTCATGTGTGTGTAAAGGCAGGCGTCCCAATACTTTTGGCATTAGAGCGTATGTTTTCCCACTACAGAGCAAGCACACTCATTTGTTAATCATTACCATTTTAAAGTATAACCAAAGGCAAAACTTTTTTTTTTTAGTTTTGGAAAGAGCGCCGATGGGTTAGAACCCCTGTCAGCTTTTATTTCTGTCTGTGCCCCCATTAAGGAGATTTATCCTCTCTATTTGTCCTTTTTACCATTATCATTGAAAGTGAAAGTAAAAGAAAATCCCAAATTTTGGGTTGTCCCCAAAAAAGTAATAATAGGGAATCTTCCAATGGGGACACTAGTTCTGGTGACCTGGGGATCCCCAAGGAATTCCCTTAATTTTCAGGGATGTCTTTTCACTTCCTGTTTGACTATGGGACAGGAAGTGAAGATAAATCTCTCCAATGGGACACAGATGGCGGAAAAAAAAAATCAGACAGGGATTATAACCTTCCTTATGAAACAAAAAAGGTTTCACTATAGTTCTACTTTTACAGATACCAATTGTTCATTATCATAGTAGGAAGAGATGTAGAGGGCATTACTGTGTTAGGCTCATTTAGAAGAACAGAGAAGAGCTTCACACAGAGGTAGGCCATAAGAAAAAAAAAAAACATATGCAGTACTTTCTAACCCTTTAAGGACCCTGAAAATACAGAAAAATACCTTTTGCTCCAATTTTTGGCAGATATCACGATACCCTTGTTGCAACAAAATCTCAATCTTTTTTTGTATAACCTATACATGTTTGGTATCACTTCCACATAAAAACTTTTTTTTTTTTCCAGTGGCAGTGAATAGTCCTTCCTTCTGGTCTGATTAGTTTTTGTATAATAAATTGTGAGCTCCCCTCAATCCAGATGTACTGTGTTCCCAGGCTGTGTGATGATGCATTCCCAGGGAGCGTGTCCATGAGCTCACAGGAAGTGGGTTAGATGACATAATTCTACCTGGAAGAGGGCTGGCTCAGCATGTCTGCAGAAGCAATTCTGAGGAGAGGAGTGCTAGATAGATGATTATTGCCGCAAGTGCTGCTTTTTTAATGTGTACAATTTTATTTTAATTATTTTTTGTTATGTCAGAGTCAGGGGTGGACTGACCATTTGGAAACTCGGGCACTGCCCGAGGGCCCGGGGTCAGTAGGGGCCCCATGAGATGCCCCTGGTACCTTTTTTATAGGCTTTTTTGAGTTTGGGCAAGGACACAAGGGCCCCATGATGCCCTATTGCCCGGGGGCCCCATGAGTTGTCAGTCCACCCCTGGTCAGAGTCTTGCTTTAAATTAACCTTTATATACAACTACCATAAGTTCCTAAGTGCATCTTGATATCAGCCACCTGCCTTGCCCTGCACAGCAGTACTAGGACCCAATCGGATTCTACTGTGTGCACATGTGCTGAAAGGAGAAGAGAGTTAGCAGAATGGATGACCAGACTCACTGATCATTGTGTTGCTTTCCCTTCATTGCCCAATCAGCAATCTGCAGGCAAGGTTATGACCAATCTGTATTTCATAAATAACTCCTACATTTAACCTACCTGCCATGGAAATTCACCCTTCAGACTGTCAGTCCCACCAACGATCCTGACATTGGGATCCACTGTCACTGGCACAATGTCATCTGAGTGGTCATCCAAGTGTATATTTTCAGTAGAGTTGTGGTGTTCGATGGAAGAAATATTACTTATATAGTCTTCAGGTTCCAGGATGGTACGGGTTTCATCTTTTGGAATTGCTTCTGGAGCACTTACTCTTCCACAAGGATATTGCACTGTAAAATGAAGCAACTATGGTCATTTTATTTGTTGTGGCCAATGCACATAGACAAGTGTCACTGGTAAAAATTAGTAGGGAGAGGTGCAGCTTAAGGGAGGGGGGGGGGGGGGGGCGGTTGGCAATCTGCAAGAACACATCTCAACTGCACATTTTTTGCCCCCCCTAACCGCAAGTCTAAACAAAGCCTAAAAGTTAAAGATCCAGGGCTAAAGGAAAAGGCTGCATAGAAACACAGATTTCTGGATAACTCTAGTGACCTTGCTGTAAACAAAATCCAAGTCAGAGAACAATGGCTCAGCCGTATGACTTATACACAGAAATCTATAGGATTTTATATAAGGTGAATACAAAGAATATGTTTGTGAGCAGCCACTTTTAGAAGGAGGGATTTTACAAGATACAGTCATGGCCAAAAATATTGGCACCCCTGCATTTCTGTCAGATAATGCACCACTTCGCCCAGAAAAATTGTTCCAATTACAAATGTTTAGACATTCTCATGTTTTTTTCTTTTTTTTTTTTTATTGGTATGACATAAAAAAAGTGGAGAAAAAAAGCCAAATCTGACACATTCCACGCAGAACCCCAAAGAATGGACTGGACAAAATTATTGGCACTTTCTCAAAATTGTAAGAAAGGAGTGCATTCCAAGTTTGTGATACTTCTGTAATAAATGTCTCTTTTGGTCAGTTAACCATGTTGACTACTATGCTTATGCATGTCACATGACATTTCCTGGAGACTGTATATGCCGTCATAACCATTGAAACTATGCTAAATAAATTGGCAAGTACAGTCACAGTGGCACCAGCTAAGCGACAATTTGCCCTCTGAAGCTTAGTAAGCTCTTACATGACTCCATATTACTGGCAGCACACACAGTGATTGACCAAAGTGAGGCTTGCCACCTGTTAGCTAGGTGTCTCATCACACAGCAGAAACAAAACAATGTTGCATCACTTCTGCTTTCAACATGAAACATGTCGTTACTTTGTATCCTGCATATAATTTTTTTTGTCCAACCCCTGTATATCTCAGTGATTATCTTTTGGTCTGGTACTCTAATCTCAGACTCTCTCACTCTGGTCAAATACTACTATCCTTATTTATAAATAGAATAGTCCCAGGGTTCCTGTGCTACCCCCTCCGTTTTTTCCCTAAGTCAGTCAGACACTAACATAAGATGAACGCTGAAAGCTCAATTCCCTTTAAAAAGCTAAAATGTACTAAAAGCTTCATGCTCATAATGTATGATTATGCAGGCGGATATGTATGGCAGACATTCCTGTGAATGTGGCTAATAGCATTTTATACAAGCAGAGCATTGCCAGTTGCATCTGCTTCTGCTCCATCTTTTAGAAATCACTGGTATTGAATGATGAGGGCCCAGTATCTGTAGGTATATCCACAACATGTGCAGATTTAAAGACCACAATTCACTCTGGGTGACCAATGTACATTGCAGGGATTTTAAAGTTGTTGTAAACCTCTGAAATGAAGAAGTAACCAAGCATATCCATCTATAGTGTGTACTAGCTTCAATTCAAGGCACCAAGTGTGATCTCGGTCTAATCTTCCTACCCTCTGCTATCTGCATTAGTCAATTCTGAGAGGTTATCCTGACACCACAAAACTGGGAGATGGCCCCACCCTCTTTTAGCACAAAGAAGGTGATTGACAGCCTCATCTGTGCATGTTTCCCTATGAGACTGTGTAGAGGAGGGTGTGTCCTTCTTCTCCACTCAGGTCTCATATTACACTCAGATACACTCCCTGCTCTGTGCTTTGCAGTATTTGACATTAAATTCCTGCCCCCTGCCTGCTGGAGCTGCAAAATAGCCTTTCATCTGTGCGTTTTAGAAGTTTGTAGAGAGGAGAGGACTGTAGATAAAAAGGTACAAATTATGAAGGTGGATTTGTTTAATCTCCATGTATCACCTGTGACTTGTCACTTCAGTGTTTATACGTAAGGGTTTACAAACACTTTAACTACTTGAGCCCTGGAAGATTTTACTCCCTTCATGACCAGGCCATTTTGCATTATTTTACCTGGTAATTGTGCGGTCATGCAAAGCTGTACCCAAACAAAATGTATGTACTTTTTTTCACACAAACAGAGATTGGTGGCATTTGATCACCACTGGGTTTTTTATTTTTTTGCAATATAAATGAAAAAAGTTGAAAATTTTGAAAAAAAAAAAACAATATTTTTTTACTTTCTACTACAAAATGTGTACAATTATAAAATAAAAAAAATCTAATTTCTTCATACATTCTGGCCAAAATGTATTCTGCTACATGTCTTTGATAACACCCCCCCCCAATAAATGTATATTGATTGGTTTGTGTGAAAGTTATAGCGCCTACAAACTATGGTTTATGTACTGGAATTTTTTTTAACATACAACTAATGGCAGTGATCAGCGACTTATAACGGGACTGCAGTAGTGCGGCGGGCAACCTGGCATTAACTGAAGCTGGTGGGAACTGACTAACTGCCACTGAAATCACCAATGACATGAAAGTGTTACTAAACTCACAACAGTAAAATCAGTCTGTATATGAAGTAAAGCATGCTTGTTATGCTCACTGTGGAACCTAAGGGGTTAATCCTTTGCATTGTGTAAAAAAGCAGTTTGATCCTTTCTTCTCTGCCCCTCCTCTTTTTGAAATGACCACCTGATACAGACTGACCCCGTGGTCACATGCACATGCTCAGTTTGGTGTGTATTGACAGAGAGGCTTTTTTTTTTCTCCCGGGAGAGTGCATGTGATCAGCACTGTCCAGACAGAGGTCAGGGGTTCTGCATCCTCCTAGAGCAGAAAGAAAACTCCTTCTAAAAGCTTTAGCTAGTGGTGGGCTGGACACAGATAGAAGTCAGAAGATTGCTCTAACTGCTGATGAGAAAAGGTATTTAGCAGTTTATATTTACTAAAATAATGCATTTCCATGTTCTGTGTACTGTGTGGGACCAGATATAGTGAATGAAGGGTCCCGGGCTTAGTAACACTTTAATACAGTGATCAGTGATAATACTATACACTGTCATTGTACTAATGACCCTGGCTGGGAAGGGGTTAACATCTAGGGCGATGTGTGTTAAATGTGTGCCTAACTATGTGTAATATGTGTAAAGTGTGCTGCTTTTTACTAATGACCTCTTAGTTTCTCAGAGAGATTGTTCACTCTGTACAGAACTCTGTGATGATTGTCAATACAGAGCTCTGGGCTGTGATTGTAAACAGCATATCAGCAGAACCTGGCAGTGAATCATTGGCCAGGATCTGCTGACAGACTCCCATTGTGTACAATCACAGTGAGAGTAGGTGGGGAAAGACCCAGAAACAGGCAGCAACTTATGGGTACGTCGCTTTTCCTATGCGGACCACTTGTCCACAGTACTTTGTTGGTGGTCCACAAATAGTTAACAAATTTTGTAGCAGATTCCTACCTTTTGTTGTGCTGAAGAAATAGCTGTTTGTTTCATCATGTTTTTTGTAGTCTGATTCTGAATGGGAGTGACTGGTTCATTTTGATTAGCTGATACACTGAGGAGTGTATCCTAAGAAGAAAAGCTACATGGCCAGCATCCCTTTAGAAGTATTTAACCACTTCCCATCTAGCCCATGTACATAAACGGCTGGACAGGAGCAGTGCAGGAGCGGGTAGCCATTTATAAACGGCCTCCGCATCCACTGCCTGTGCGTGCTCCCTGGGAGCGCACGACACTGCGATCCGGAACACCAATCGCTGTACGAGATCTCTGTGTGAGGTCCTGATCGTGTGATCACTGATTGGCCAATCAGTGATCATATGAATAGCAGTAAGCAAGATGTCACTTGCTGACATCATTGCTTACTACATGTGAAATCTGTGAATGATCACAGAGGTCACATGGTACAAGGCTATTCACAACAGCCTTGTACCATGTGACAAGCTGTGACCAATCACAGCTCTCACAGTATTTCTCAATGGCTGCAAGAATGCAGCCAGAGAGAAGGAGAAATGATTGCTTTTACAGCCTTTATGGGTGTAAAAGCAATCAGTGCAAAAAAAAATAAAAATCGTCATCACCCCCCACAAGTAGGACAGTGTCACTATGGTGACACTGTACTGCTAGGGTGACAGTATGTTAAAAAAAATAATAATAATATTATAAAAAACAAAATAAAAATGTGAACTTTTTTTTAATTATAAATTTTGGTTATAAACTAATTTGTGTTATTTTGTTTTACTAAAAAGATAGCTGAATACATTTTGGCCAAGATTTATGAAGAAAGATTATTTATTTGCAAAATTTTATCAGAAAAACACTTTTTTTTCAAAATATTTGTACTTTTTCATTTATATAGCAAAAAAAAAAATCCCAGTGGTGAATAAATACCACCAAAATAAAGTTTTATCCATCTCAAAAAAAATGCTAAAAAATTCATATAGGTACAGTGTTGCATGACCGCGCAATTGTTATTCAAAGTGTGATAGTTCTGAAAGCTGAAAATGGGCTTGGACAGGAAGGGGGTGAAAGTGTCCGGACTTGAAGTGGTTAACCCTTGGAGAGTATCTCACCAAAACTGAAATTTATATTGCAAGGGGTGCCTAAAATTTGAAAAATCAGTGAGCCAATCAAACAAGCAGGAAATGACATTTCTGGGGGCAATCTGTACACCTGCTGTGTACAGTATACCTCCAGGTTGCCACATTACTTGAATACTACAGAAAACTTCAGCAACTGCAGATTGAAAAGGAAAGGTCATTTTAATAATATTAAATTAGAGTACAGTTTGTGTATGAGATACACAAGTTGTACGTTTTTTCCATTTTTTATACATTTTTTCCATAAAAGTGAAGTTACAATTGAAAGTTCACATCCAC